TGGGCGGCCGAGCCGGGCCGGGAGCCGCCGGGCCCGTCGCGGCCTGTGTAAGCCATTTCCCTCTGCATCTGCAAACGACAAGGAAAACACACAGGGCGCCGCATTAGTGAATGAACAAAGCGTGATGTGAGCTGTGAGCACCTTGACATCAACTACATGAAGGAAAGCAAGCAAACTCACTCCAAAAAAATCAAATAACAACTCGACACACAGATAAGTACTACACCTTGAGACCTCAGTGCCTGGAGAAAATAAGATCCACGGACAGCAAGAAAATGGACCGTGTGTTAAAGGAGTATGAAAGTTTTAAAACATGCTTTTACTTACCAGAATATCATTTTATACTAATCTCATCCTATCCTACCCAAGCTGCAATCGCAGTTTTTAGCACTAGGTGCTCTAGGTACACAAAACAAATGGACTTGAACAGTTTAGTGATCCAACAAGCACATAGGCTACAGTTGACTGATCCCAGACCAGGAAGAAAACCCTGGTGTTTTTGGCATCATATGTAAGTCCAAGTCCTCAGGCAAGTAAAATAAATATTACAACCAATTGGCCATTTACTTCACAGTATGCATTTGCCTTTCCTAATTCCTTGACATGACCTTTATTTCTATGCACAATAACGTCTTACACCAAGCACAGGAGAAAGACACATGCAAACATTTATTGCCAACAAGATATTTGAGGTGCATGAAAACGGTTAGCCTATATAACACACATGCCAAAGGTTTCCGGCTTTGTGATGAAAGATAAGAGTTTCAGACGCTTTGTGGACCATGTGCTACAAAAGCCACTGAACATTTTATTACAGTAATATAAGCAGCAACAGTTAGTGCCATCAGGAATGAATGAACAAGCAAGGAAAAGAACAGGAAGACACCTGCACATTAGTATTTTGTTAACTAGCTGTGGACACGACTGAAAACTCCAATGAAAAATGTGCAGTAATTTCTGAGATGAAAATGTTTCACCCTGCCCGTGAATGACCTCTCTCGGTAGCCAAACACGGTCACTGACGGGCACAAGATAAAATCTTTCTTTAGCACACAAGCACTGCTGTGGTGCTTTTAAGGTCAGGGGAGAGAAAATGGAAGATGAAGGATATCAGGGAGCCACCATAGATGGAAGAAAATGGAAAAAAAAAATCACAGCTTTTAAAATGTGAATTGGCAACCCCAACTGCCCACACCATCACTTTCAGGAGGGTCTGGAAAACTCAGCATCACTGAACACATCCCTGAGTTTATGCAGTGCACACTAATCACAGTGGAAGTTGCTGATTTGAAATCTTCACCATTTCCCTGCCGCTCACTCCTTGTTTTAACGATATGCCTGAATCCACTGCAGTTAGTGATCCACGGCTGACAAAGCAAGAAATTATATTCCACGCCTGCCCCACCACAGGTTTTTCCACTGGTAAAGGAATTACAATGGCGGCATATAAACAATTGCTGTTCTCATCACAGCAGGCTCCACACTTGGGCATTACAAATGACGTTCCCCAAGGCCAGAGATCAAAAGTTTGCAGTATCAGGTATCAGGAAGAAGAAAGAAGATAACGTGACTCTGGTGCAGCAATAATAAATAAGCTTAACAGAACAAAGGAGTGTACTGGGATGGGTTATAAATGAGCCAGACATAAGTCTTCCAGCCAAGGAGGGATGTTGGGTCATTTTTTTTTTTAATTTGCACAGAGGAATACTGTCATATGGAATTTGAAATAAAACACAACTAAACAGTACTAATAAAATTATCAGTGGGTATTCAACACAGTTATCCATCCAGCTTCAAGAAATACTGCAACACGCTTGGCTGTATTGCGCGTTCAGATGCCAGAGCCCAGCCAAAGAATGAAAAGCCTCCTGCTGACTCTGGGCAGCTTTAGGCTCCCACCTCCAGGGAGGTCCAGCTAAAGGTACAACAGGTATAACAGCAGTATTCCAAAGCACAGGATCCCCAGATACAAGGCTGTACTGGGTTACAGTGAGAGGAAAAGTCCAATGCTAGCAGTAAAGAGAAAATTTCTAAGGAAAACTTTGAAAATGACAGCTTTAATAACACATAATCTCTGGACCTCATATTCCTGTATATGCTCATTTACGTTTCAGTCAAAGAAATACTTCAAGAAAAAAAATCTATTTTTCACATTCATATATTGCCATACATTAAGATGGAAATAAAGAGTTCACACATACAGCTTAGTAAGCTATTGGTCAAAACACAACTGGTCAGAACTTGACATTTACCCTGCGTCCAAGTACTGACCTATATGCTCCTGTTTACTTTTGCTTTGCATTAAAATAGCACATAGCCCAAATCGAGGCCTTACTGGGCTGGGCAGGGCACAGATGCTTGTGCAGACAACCCCTTCCTGCAAAGTTCACACGCTATTTTAATACGTGACTCAGTCCCTGGGTGGAGCGCGCCGAAGGGGAGCACGGGCAGAGCCGCAGAGTCCAAGGGTGCCCGCGGCACGAACGCGGGGCACGCGGGCTGCGCGGGGCCGTGAGCCGGCGACACGGCGCTGACAGGCAGCCTGCTGGGCGGGCTGCCGAAACAAGCGGCAGCACATGCTGCATCTTCTCTTCCTGCTTCTCTCCTCTCTAAACATCTCCAGATTCTTTCCTAATGCAACATTTAAAATGCACAGGATGGTTTTCTCATCTGTGTCTGCTGTAAGATATTCAAGGCATCCTACTCTCTTTCTTTCATTTATACAGCTAATTCTCTGCTGTCGGCTTCTTCCTGCCCTCCACCTCAAAAGTCCTGTGTTGCTCAAGGCAAAGACACGTTCCAATAGGTGGGCTGTCCCAAGCCACATGTTCTTAAACTGCAGCACTGAGGCACAGAGAGAGAGGATTTGGGGCTTATCAGGGCCTGTAAGTACTATGTGCTATCTCAGCCAATTGCTTTGAGGGCAAAAGGAAAAAGGTTTTAAGGCAAGTGTGGGATCATGTGCTTTCCAACTGCAGCTATGTAATATATTTGCCTGAGGGTGTGTTTTTTTAGCACATGCCTCTTCCTTGTTCTTACCGCTCACAGACTTTACATCCCTGAAGCAGAAGGTTGTTTGTCAGTCCTTCAGGTTAAAATATGGCAAAAGGCAAGTACTACAGTTTCTGTACATAACATTAGAAGGGAAAGGGTATCACTAAGACTTTTTCCCCACTTCCTGTAGGAAAAAAAAAGATCATATCCTGTGCAAGTAGCTCCTTAGGGGTTCTCTTGGTCTAGTAACACTTAACACTTAAGTCTAAAGACTTATATGGAAAAGTATGGATTTGCATTTTCTTTACAAATGGATCAATAGAGAAACTGGTCACACACTGAAGAGCAAACAGCATACAAAACCAGCTATGTTTATAATTTCAGCATTACTTTGCATGCTCGACAAGTGGCTGCATTTTGAATGCTGTTATATGCAGAAAGGTAGCAAAAAGGGCCATGCATCCACCCAAATATCTAAAAGGAGACCTGGCAAAGATTCTCCTTTGCTCCTGGGAGCTCACCTAAGGGCCAGGCAGACCTGGTACCTCTTCCACTTCAGAACACAAGGCTTATTCCCTCTCCTGGCCCCTTGACCATCCCAGTTCCCCTAAAAGAAGGGCAGTCATGCTACCATAAGCCTCATGGGTAGCAAGGGGCAGCTGCACAAACCTGGGTGCCAGAAATGCAGCCTGACTCACACCGTTACCTGCAGACACCCCAGAGCAAAAGACAGGCACAGGGAAAGGTGGGGCAGGGTATCTGACCTGGCAGCCTTTCCCAGTGCTCTCCCCAGCCTCAGCTATGTCAATACAGAACACAGCAATTGGCTTTGTCCAAAGAATTTCAGCCTGCCAAAATACCTAAATGATCCCTATTCATCTGCACACCTTCCCTGTGACACCCTGGAGTTTCCAGCAGACCCCAGGAATCACCTCTCAGGTATGCAAAGTTATTACTTTCTTACTCTCCCATTGACACTCTATGTTGCCCTGAGGAAACTGCATCTGTGCTTTCCAAGTTGGCTCACCCAACAGTAAACTTAGGACTCTTGCAAAGAACTTTATCAAGAGCTTGGAGAATGTGCAATGGAAAAGCTACAGAAATGCTAAATACTGTTACAGGGGTGATTAATTCTTCTGTATGTAAAGAGGCCTTTTAAGGAAATCACTCACCAGAAGAAAATCCTCTGCAGAGTGAGGCAATCCTTCACTTTGCTAATCAGGGAAAGATTAATTAAAAGAACCTTAACAACTGTACGTGCCATTAGTTTGTTCTTTCCTTAAGACAAAACACCACTACAGCATCATTTCTGTCATGACTGATCTTTCACATTGAGTTTGCACATCTGAAAGTATGTGAGCTTTTGTAAAAAAAATGTCAGATAATATTTTAGAAATATCAGAACTATCACTCACAATAAGAAATAGGGTATTTGAAAACTACAGAACAGACAATAAGTTTTAAAACAACTTTTAAATACATATAGATTGATTATCTATCTGAAGCCAAATCCTCCTCATGCTATCACACTTCAGTGAAGGGTTATCACACTTGTCTGTTCTTGCCTGTTCTTTGTATGCCTTTTAATTCCTGCAAATTCTCCCTTTGTGTCAGGCCATTTCAGAAAAAAATAGCTGGCTGCAGCTTGGGCTCCTCCAGCTGCCCAGCACTATCCGTACAGCCACAAACACATGAGCAACATTCATTGCATCAGCAAACCAACCAGTTTGTTCTGGTCACAAACCTTCCAATGAAAAATAATTTTAGCAGACAACACTAATTCATTTGAGCTGAAATATTCGGTAGATATATCAGTAAAGCAAAAGTTGTTTGAGAAAAAAAAAGGCAGATTTCAGTCAAACATGAGTTCTTATCAGACATTCCTGGACTGCTCTAGAGCTTTGGATTTTCAGATTCATAAACCTAGGGCAATTTGGGCAGAGCCTGCCCTGGGGCAGAGAGCCCAGCTCCTCCACAGTCTCATCTGCAGAGCATGTGACAGCTTTGGGATGGTCTCCTAGACCCTGTGATAAAATATGCCAGGGGTATCCGTGTCTATATTCCCTGCAGTACT